GGGAGCGAGATTTTGCATGTATGTAAGATGGCACGAGATCGCCTGTTAGCCGCGCTCAATCCCGCACGTACGCACGCGTGCGTGCATGCGTGCGCGCGCACGCGTGCACGTGCACTGACGAGTGCACATTGACGCACGCAAGGAGGCAGGCAAGCACGAGGTCATGGCGTGAACTGAGAAGCGAGGTGATTTGAGCACAGCACACCCTCTAATCCAGCTGCCTGCGTAAGAAGGAAGGTCGAGAACTCGTAGTGACCATATTAGGCGGTTTTAAAGCCTGTCGCAGTTGTGTGTGTGTGCGTGTGTGTGTGTGTGTGCCAGCATCTTCTTATGCCCATATATGGCGAGTGGTGTAAGCGTACACGTCTTGTGCTCTCTCTTTCTCTCGCTTAACCTCAGTTACTCACCAAATCCCTCCTCCTCCCCTTTGCTGATCCAGCACTTGTAAACCTTTTCCGTGTCAAAAAGAGGTTTACTTTCATTCTCTTGTTTGTCGCATTTGGGTTGGATGAGATTTGGTTTTTTTGCAACAAAAAAGTGAAATGAAAGATTTTATCTTTATAGTAGTTAGCAAAAATGAGGCTTCACTTGGTCCTCCTCAGTCCTGAAGAGGACAATGTAGGGCAGCTGTCAGTTAGTGTCATCCTGTCAGCTGGTGTCACTGCAGCGTGCACAGGTGGAGGAGGGTCTGAAATACCTCCAATGAAAAAAGGAAGTCGTGGACCGGTTGCCTCCTCCCTTCACCACGTTCGTCTCACTAATCTCCACTGTCTGCTTGAGTGAGAGGAAGAAAGAGAGACACACGCAATCAACGCTCTCTCTCTCTCTTTCTCTCTCGCTCTCTCACAGGAGCAATTTTTATGCTCCTCACCATTCGCCTCACCTCTCGCCTTTCCGCCTTGGCATCGCATGCCTCTTTACCATCGGGGCAAAGTCAAACGAAGCCCATTTGGAGTCATGTGATGGTTTAACAAAAATACATACATTTAACCAGGTGTACACTCAGGGAAGAGGAGTAGTGAAGCCTTTTATACGGTGCCTTTCTTTCTCTCCATCCCTTTGGCCAATGTGTTTGACTCACCAATTTGACTTCCCTCGCCAGCAGTTCTCAACTACGCAACTTAAAAGTCACAGAAGTGATTTGATGATTTGTGACCCCATGAAAGAGGTGAAACACCTCGTCAAAGGTGATTGGAACGGCAAAAAAAAAGGTAAAAAAAAAAGTAAATTGCGCATTTAAGAGCATAAATTTGCGGCCAAATGCTTGTCTCACATCACTTTTACTGCTTGTTTCAGGATGGCGGACGAGGATACAGCGGCGTTGGTGATAGACAATGGCTCGGGTATGTGTAAAGCCGGTTTTGCTGGTGATGATGCGCCTCGTGCTGTCTTCCCCTCCATTGTGGGTCGTCCAAGGCATCAGGTTAGTTGGGTGGTGTCGGTTTCATCACCTCAGCACGATCGTATTGAGTGGTGTGTTTTGC